ATACTAACTATAGAACATGAAGCAGCTGTATTCAGTCAGAAACTAATAGCCAAGTAATTACTAGAAGAGTTGGGTCTACGATAGCTGGTTTCAAAGGTGCAGAGTGGGGCCAGAACTCTTCGTCAGGGGGCTCATGGCATTGCTATAGCTGCACCAGATCCGTAGAGTGGGATGGTCAGTACACACCGACGTAAAGGAGCATTTACACTGGACTCAGAGGGGACATCAGGGTATCGATAGAAAATTGGGGAGCTGAGGCGAGGGCTCCTGAGGCTACTGGAGATAAAGGAGCTAGAAGGATTTTGGGAATTTGCCTTTGGCTTGTCTTGCTGGCTGGGCAAAAGCAGTACCCAGCTAATGAAAAGAGCCTTGCTCCTGATCCCCACAACCTTGTCTCCCTCTCTCCCAGCTCTCCTTCTTTCACTATTCACCAGGACTACAAATAGTAGCTACAGGTGGCCAGATCGCATGGGGCTAAGGGCAGGTCAGGAAGGCGAGAATACTGGAAACAGGTCTGAGAATTGAGTCATCCCACAGAGGGAAGGAGAAGATCTGCAGTGCTGTTTGAGAACAGCTGTAGATCCCCTGGGATTTGTTTTCCAATTAGTAACAAAGCCCATTAACAAACTCTATTTAGAGGGTTTTTCACTTAAGTGAGGCTTTCCTAAATTAGTAGCCATCAGTTCTGACTTGCATAGTGAATCTGTCACATTCCATAGATTATACTAGCATACAACCCTCCTCTAGCAAAAAAAGGGAAGCATGGTAATATGGTGAGTCACAACAGAAAAAAAAGAAATTTGCTTTAAGAATAGCATATACCTATTTTTCCTATCAAAGCACATTGTGTATTTTAGTAGTTTTAGTAGTAGCTGTTGTTTGGACTTCAGTTTGCTCTAGTAGCAAAGGGAAATTAATCTAGAGGGAAGCATTGACAGAAGGTTCTTAAAAGGCACTGAGAAGGTAGATGGTACCTTTATCATTAAAAGAACAAAGCAATTGCAAATAATAAAAGGAAAGTTTAAAACTAAGCAAAATAAATCTCTATTCCCCTAAAAATAACTCAGATTCAACAGTAGAGAATGTCACTGAAAAGACAAACTGGATGCTTACATGGATAAAGGCATTTGGGCATGTTGTAATTCACAAAAATAGCTTAAAATTGATTTAACCCCACATTTCAAAGACTAAATCAATCTCTATCTAGGCAAGGCAGATGACCTCACAAATGCTTTCTGTGTCATTTCCTGTACTTCAGCTGAGGCTTTTAGAGTTGGCCTCTTGTCGGGGCGTGACTGTGGACCAGGAGGAACATGGGCTTTGACCTAACTGGTGCTAATTGGCACCTCATTTTTCAACAGTGCTGTCAGGTCCGGCCTGTGAAGCAGTGCAGTATGGAGGATTCCCAAGCGTTGTTAATGAACGGCCTTTGCAATAGGTCTGAGCCTCAGCGACTGAGCCTGGCTCAGTGGTATCTTTCCATTAAAAAAATCACTTTGTAGACGCGACCACTCAGCTTTCCAAGGCAGCATCTCTGAGCGTACTCTCCCATCCCTTACACGCAAGCACACACGCACTTCAACGACAGCTATTTTGCTGGTGCAAGGACAGTGAAACCTGTATTAAACTTCTGGAATTTCTTACTCAAAAACATCCTCTGGGACGCTCTGAAGAGCTCAAGACGTACACAATAGTCTGCTGTAACTTTTATCTACTGCTTAGGTAAAAAAATTTCACAATAAAGGTGATGTAGGATGTCGTTGATGAACTTTGTCCTACCTCCCTCAGGGGAAGGCATGAAGAACTAGAGCTTAAGCAGATAAGCAGTTTGAACAGGCTCAGCATCTTTGACATTTAAACAAGTTTGATTGTTCCTACAGTAACCACCTGCCCAAGCTTCCAGACACCAAATTATTTACCAGGAACTGTAGCAACACATCAAAGAAGTTGCTTTTGATCTTTGCAATGGTCTTAAACATCCTTCCTAGAAGTGAGTACAATGACATCTGAACCCTTGCTGTAGGTAAGTAAGTGGTCTCCCTAGGATGTAAACAGTGACAGCGAGCTGCCGTAGGACAGAAGGACCAGCTCGAGCGTATGCACAATCTTTAGTCCACAAAGCAGGAAAATAAGGTCCCATATTCTCACTCACCATCGTGTCCATCAAATTTGGGCTGTTATTATTGTAGTTAGAAACGAAAGGTTTTGGATATGCCTTTTAGCAGCCAGCTCATCAGCTGGTCATTTGATGCTTAACAGGAGCATTACGGTCTGTTGCTTGCTGGCCTTGTCCTCTCAATAGCCTTACTCGAAAGGAAGAGCGATGGTCTCGGGTATCGTATCGCCCATCGAGTCAGCGTGCAGCGCACAGCCCCGGAGTGGCGGCACTAGGGGGGGCTCCTGCAGCACCACCCACCCCGAAGCCCCCAGTCTGAAAGCAGACCCAGATCACAAAGATTTGCTTCTACAGTTGTGAGGTGTTGGATTGCGGGCTGGTTTATTACTTACTTATTAACTTCTCTGCACATTTGGAACATTTTCAGATTTTCTTTTGCTGCTACAAACTAGAATTACCAGCAGCCCTCCTGCTCCTGCCAAGAGCTCCTAGTATTGCATGGTTCTAGGAATTGAGACTTAGTCTCCTACCTAAATGTTTATGAAAAAAAACCCAGCCCAAACACTATTGATATCTTTGTTTTAGAAAAACTGCTTGAAAAGCTTAATTGAAGTTTGAAAAGTCTTCCAAATATTAAATTTTTGCCCTTATTGAGATTTAACCCTCCTTTTAATCAGTAAACCCACAGCTAAGCAGCTGGAATTAAAAGTAATATTTAGCCTTTGAATAAATAAGAGACCTTTTGGGAATAATGTGCTTATTGGGGAACTTATTGG